AAAAAAAAAAAAACTAAAATCCTTTTGACCTGGAGCTCATTTAACACTACAACATAAACCCCACAAAACAAACTCTTCCTGTAAGAATCAATTCATGTCATTTACATAATTTACTAATTATTTTACCACACTTAATTCAAAAATACCTGTTGAGAAGAAGAGAGGCTATTTCCATGTAGTGTTTAGAAGGCATTTTTGTGAAGTAATCTGCCTCTTTCTCTTTTTCCTTCAGTTCTTGCAACCTTTCTGCAAAACAATCATTGAATTTCGAGTAGAAAGAGTGGTTGGCCACAGAATTCTCATTTACAGTGCACTCTAGTACTTAAAAGACAGCAAGCTAGACCAGGGGGGGGGACCTTAGGCATATCACCCTCCCCTCCTCCAGTAAGAGCACCATGCGCTGGCATTTTAAGGCATGTAAGGTTGTTTTTCCCCAAATTCCCACTTTGCATTAGTGTGGATGAGACCTTGTTTACAAAATATGGTTCAAAATAGTGTTGAAGTATCCTGGGGCACACAATTGATTCTCTGCCTTATTTAGCACTCTAAATTCCTCTTTTGGTACTGAGAAAAAAAATATATTACCAACATCCATCCATTCGGGAGGCAGTATTCTGCATTTTCTTCTCTGTTTCAAAAATATTGCAACCCAGAGGGGTACTTCAGTTGGCAGAGATGCATTAAACGGTCCAATGTCTCCCTGCAAATCAAAAAAGTTTAAATTGTATCGAAAAGTGAAGATAGCATAGAAAATCGTAATCAAGTTTGGAAAGAGTACCATATAACCCCATACATTGATTATGCATTCCACTTCTTTGTCTTTCACGACAAAACTTTAAAAACAAAGTCTGCCAGTCTGAATGCATAATTAATGTATGGGGTTATATGCTACTCTTGCCTCAAGTTGTCCATTAGAAGCATGCATAATGCAGATTCACAGAATTACAGCAACCGTTGCATTCACAGTATCAGTAGTCCAATGGATAGCGCTGGCAAATAGCCTTCGGCAAGTGAATGTCTCTTCATCTCACCACAAACAAAAGTATTCACTTATATCGTTGTTTCTTGTTTATAATACACCTACCCCGATCAAATAAATCTTGTTCTCAGAGAAGTTAGTTTGAATGGATATATTTTCCTTTTCGGCTAAAAATTCCACTTCTGAAGGATCCATTACGACAAGGGTGGGATGTTCAAGTAGCTTACGTCGACGGATTTAGTAACGCAACTAGTTTTAAAGAACTTTTAAAACGGCAATGATAATTTTCTACGCTAATTCTTTTCCGCCATGTTTTCCCGCGCTTAATAATTTGAACGAGAAAAAGTACTGGGCTGAGGAGCGTTGCGTGATGACTACGTGATGTCTAGCGTGACGAATCACATGATTAACCTGTGACAATGACAGTCGGAAAGACTGGTTCGAATTATTCTGTCCGCCATATTGGAACGGGGAAAAATGGCCGAGACAACTCAAATGTTGTCGTTTCATGAGTTGTTTTTCAACTTAGATAGTGGTTATCTTGAAGGTTTGGTCAGAGGATTTCGATCAGGAATCTTAAGTCAAAGTGATTACCTTAATTTGTCTCAATGCGAAACACTGGAAGGTAAGAAGGAAGCGGATATTTTTAGCATCCAGCAGAACGAAACACTTATACTTTGCAAATAATTTTGGTCTGTTCGCCTTCTTGTTTTTCGTATGTTTGGTGACGAAACAGAAATCATTTTAATGTAATAACCCGATAGTTAAATATCCTTCGGAGTAATTCTATGGCGGTATGCAGTACAATTAGGGGATCATCTGTATTTTCATAAAATATACATTAGATGTAATTTTAACAGCAAATTACGAAATTCAAAAAGATTGATAGATGTAGGTTCGCACCTTACATCGCAATTCAGTGCTTGAAAATGGAAATAAGCACGAAAAAGGACGCAAAAAATGCTTAATTTGGCTTTGGTGCCTGTCATAATTTTGAGATCATCAGGCTGGTGTGCATGTAACAAAGTTTGGTAAGATTTCTGTACAGTTCCATATTTCATTATGCATACAGTTCTTGAATAAAGAAAAGAATGGCGAAAACAATAGATTGCCTTTGGGGCAACAGCTTTGTTTTACAAGAGCATGGGGCCGTACGGAAATATTACTGAAAGTTTACATAGTGCAAAATGTTTACTTAATGCTACACTGAGTTGCTAGGGTGCTGTTGTTCATATGCTCTTATGAAGGGCTCAAACTTAAAAAGTCGACTTTGAAATCCTTTACAGTGACCAATTTTAACAAACAAACAAACAAACAATTTACATTGTCAACTCAATTGATAAAACCAAATTACCGTGTTAGAAATTGATGAGTTGAACATTGTAGGGAAATCCTTTTTTGATGCATGAGTCACCAGACTATATCAAATGGGCCCTAAGCATTTAAGTATTTAAAAGATGATTCCTCTTTTTCTAGATCTCAAGCTCCACTTGCAAAGCACAGATTATGGAAACTTTCTTCAAAATGAGGCTGGTCCTTTGAATGTGTCAGTTATTGACGACAGACTGAGGGAGAAGTTAGTCACAGAGTTTAGGCATTTACGCAATCAAGCTCTTGAACCAATGGCAACTTTTATGGACTTTATCACGTAAGCCATCAAATTGATCTTACTATTAAAACCCCTCTGGTGACAATGACATCTTGCTCATTTTGAACTTAATAAACCCTGCAACTCCCAAAAGTGATTTACATCTAACTTCTCCCTCTAATATCCCCATGAAATCCAGCAAAAAGGTAATAAGAATACTCAAACTTATTGGGTAGAAGTTGTTATTTGATCTAACACCAAATTCTCGTGGCATATCTACAATTAAATATATAGCAGGGAGAGAGGAGAATTATTAATAAAATCAGATCAGGGATTTAAAGGAGTTGATGAATAGTCTGTCTAATTTTAGTCCCTGTTATTGCCACAACTTTTTTTTATCCATTGCTTGACAGTGATTCTACTCACATGAATTTCACTCAATATATTATGATATCTATTGCATTGCTGATTTTTTCATGTGGTCTTAAAGTTGCTTGTCAGTTCTCAAATACAACTTCCCATGAGGTTGTTTTTATTAGTTGCTTGGATTTATGCTGTTTTTAATGTGATTTTTATGAGTCTCTTTGATTGTAAACTTTGTTTGTATGAGTTGCACAGGAGAGTTTGCAACTTGAGCATCATGAATTTGAAGTTAAGTTATTGGTTTGATTTTTAGGTATAGCTACATGATTGACAATATCATTCTGTTGATCACTGGCACTCTGCATCAGAGACCCATTTCAGAGCTAGTCCCCAAATGTCATCCATTGGGCAGCTTTGAGGAAATGGCTTCCATTAATATTGCATCCACTCCTGCAGAGCTGTACAATGCTGTTATGATTGACACTCCTTTAGGTTAGTACAGATTGCAATGTGAGAATTCTATCATAGACATGCCTTATCTTAGATGATTTTAGTGTGTTTTGACAGTGACAATTTCTCTGATGTCACTATTGTATCTTAAATGGCTCATGCTGATTTTCTGCAATACTTAGATTATGTTTAAAACTTTAATTTAATTCTGATAAGTAAAACAGGAACATGTACTTACTATCATAACACAATACAGTTCAGAACACAAGAATCAATCGCAAACAAAAAACTATTACAGTTATTGGAACAATTTTGTACCAAATTGACAGTTTCCTTTAAGCACAAAAGCATTCCAGAAACATTTCTGGTGTTTAGAATTTTCTGAGTTTCAGTGTATACACATCCATAATACAGTGGTTTTTAGTGGAGATGCTTCTTTGCAGTGTACAAGCTTCTTAAACAAGCATGCTTAGAACTAGGTAACGATTAATAATAATAATAATAAAGTCTTTATTAAGCATTCTAAACAACAAACGTGTTTAGTTACAATGATATGAACTCAGCAAGTATAAAACTAATGAACTAACTAAATTACTAACTGACTAACTAATAAGAGAACAAACATCTATTAACAAAAGTCCTCTTGAAACGTTCAGTTCTGACAAGCGGGAGAATATAATTATGGCGCCTCTTACGTAGCGTAACCATTGGTCGCTCAGGTGGCAAAAGGTCATCTAAAGCTGTTGTAAAATCGCTGTCGGTGATCTTGGCCCACAACTTCTTATCTTTTAGAATAATAATATTTTCAATCGAAAAAAGCTCTTTACAGTAGCCAAGCTTAAAAGCTCTCTTGAACAGCCTGTCTATGCGACTCAGATACTTATGATAATACGCGCAGCCCCATACTTCTACAGCATATGTAAATATAGGTAGAATAAGACTGATAAAAAGAAGATGAAGATGATCCAGCGGCAGTCCATAGAATTTACAAACACGTAAGATGTACAGACGACTACTGGCTTTCGATATAATATTATCAAAATGTAAATCCCAGTTACACGGATCAGATTGAAAAGTCACACCCAACAACTTCAGACATGGTTTACGCTCTATAGAAACCAGAGGAGCAGGTAAGGCCATAGTGGATTT